CCTTCATCATGAATGACTTTGACAGTGCCCTGAATGCAAGGGCACCGGGAGCCAAAGGCTTTGCACTAGCATGAAACAAGCCCTGCCTCGTGTTGAACAGACCTCTGGCAAAAGATATATGTCCTCCAGTTGATGGCATGTGATGACTGGTCGACAAGGGTGAACGATGCACCGATACCCAGTCGGAGCCGGCACATATACCAAAGTAACGTTAGACACGCCTGTCTTCGCGAAGGCAGATTAAACATTCACCATAAGCTGCGTCGACAGTTGATGCCTTGGATAACAAGCAACTTTCTGCACTCGGGCTGAGCACAATCTGCATCACTACTGCAGTGTTCGCCGAGATGCCAGTAGCTCGCGTCCGTTCATTCCCAAAAGCAGCCAGCTCAGAGCGACCTGTGAAGGAAGAGTACCATCACTCAGGACGAATTGCTGGAACCAGGAGGAACTTGGGATCCAAGCTAAGCTTTGGCAGTGCAAGCAATGCTCTGCTGGAGATTCATGGCTGTACACGACCGCCCGAATCATCAGACAAGGTGTATACAGCCAGCTCAACAGTAAAATGATCTAAAATGTAGAGAGGCTCCACTGCTTTCAGTCTGCAAGTTTTGCTGCTCTATAGCCACACCAGCTGCAGTTCCACTCAAAGGTGCCTCGTTAGCATTGCTGAAGGACACGTCAGGTCCACTTCCAATCACTATGGCATCGAGGCCTGCAAAGCCGCGACTCTTCGCCACGCAAGTTTGCAGAGTATCAACTTCAAGACGCAAGCACTGAGCGTGGCCATGAACCGCATCTACCAACATACAGAGGTTCAGCTTACATGAGGCGATCACATGCCTCGAGACTTACGCAGCGACTGCAACTGGATCCACCGCGCTCTGCATGCCAGCGCCTGCATGCTGCCATACCCTTCTTGCTCACAAAGAAAGGATAAGCAACGGAAACCTCCAAGATTGGAACTATGGGCCCCAGTATGGGCCCTCAATCCTGGTGTTTTCTGACACTTATACCTATTGTATAGTCTATAGACACCTAGAAACCCAATAAATGAGCACATCGTTGGGACCAAGGAAACAGGCAGCGGCTCATGATTAGGACTAGAGTCACTGCCCTCAAGCCAGGAGCCAGACAGAGTAATCGGTCACGTCCACGGTATGAAGCCAAGTTGGCCAATCCACCAGATGGGAGCGCCGGGAACGCCTCAGCAAAGAACCACCCCTCCGACAGCTCCCAGGTTTCTTTTTTCCAGGTGCTGTTCGCTGTTACTCACTGGCCTCACCAAGGACATGCTAAACAGTAATCAACTGCATCACACATCAGTGAAGGTGACTGAAAGCCACTTTTTGCAGTGGCTGCAGACCGCGCCCCAGACATGCACTTGGTGCCGCAATCTTCGAGCCCGACAAGCTCATTTAATTCACGAATTTGTCAAGCCTCGTTTAGGCATATGTTGCATACTCTGCTCAACTGCCGCAGCCCAACTCTGGCTTCAAACTGTCACGTTGCCAGGTGTGCGTGCAAAGCACGGGCAACCGCTTGGCCAAACAACTCAGCGTTATCTAAGCGGTCACAGCGCATTTCAACAACTAAGGTGAAGCAGCGAGTCTCTGCTCCAAATTTGTTGCCAAGCTCCCCAGGCTGGTGCGACCACTCTGACATCATGGCAGCAAGCTTCTGTACGCCTCGAAGCTTGGTTGTCTCTTGGGCATTGCCAGTTGCAACATCTTCCGTCTCGGGGTCATGTTCGTCTTCCCATGCCAAAGTCGCTAGGTGCGATGCAGTTTCAGGAGGAATGTGGCCCTTCTGCCCCAGCCATAAAAACCAACGAGATGCAAGAAATCGTGTGGACAATGCCCAGGGGCCTTGCGCAGGATATGGGCTGGGCCCAAGCAGAAAGCCGCAGTCCTCAAGGTGCTGATCCAACAACCTTTCCAAGCGCTTGGGCGTCCCCCGCAAATCACCGGGGAATAGCCTCGCAAGACCAACAGGAAATTGAGTAGCCCAAGGCGTGGAATGAACGATGGCAGCTTGTGCTCTTCGGACTGGCCGACCGCCATTCTCCCGATCATATGTGGAGCCCAAATCTCCGAAACTGTGAATTTCAACAAAACCGCGGCGATCAGTAGATGCAGTCCGGATGCTTGACAATGCTGCTCTGTACCAACTCTCCAATGCTTCCACACCGCCAGACTTGATATGCTGCTGAGCCCAAGTGCTGAGAGCACCCTTCCCAAACAATGTCCTGCACAAAGGTAAACGATCACAGAAAGGGGACGTCCCACTTTCTCTGCAAAGGATGCACACCGCGTTCAGCCCCCAACACGTCAAGGTACGACTGTGAACCTGAAATTTAATCTCTTGATGATGAAGGCTAGAACCAAACTTCATGCAAGTCACTCTTGTTTTTCAGCCCGCCCTCGCCAGCCACGATTCAAATCCATAAGCCCGCGAGGCAGCCGCGGTCGGAAACCTGGAGCTGCAAGCGTCGACGCTGCCGCTTCAAAAGCCTCTCCGCTGCCTTCATCATGCCATTCCTGAATTGCACACGAACGTGCAGAATGTTAAGCTACAAACTGCACAAGGGAGCACACTAAGAGACTTCAAGAAAAACATGTTCATTCACGTTTGCAATAAGAGGCATCCATTTCCTGTACCACATCGTGTTTGTTGTGAGGCCAGGAAGCCAAAAATGGCCTGAGCAGCCGAAGACCAGGACGATGATCTATGTTCCTTACACCTTCCACGTGTATATAGCAATCACAAGCTGACCCCTGCTGCATGAAACCAACTAACTCTCGATTAGATAAAGCCACACCATAACTACCAAAATGTAAAAGTGTAACAGGCCTGCGGAGTGGCCAACAGTCCATGACCCAAATACCAAATGACGGCATCTTTTTGCATTTCCAGAAACGAGAATGCAATTTCACAACGCTTCTAACGAATGCCACCCACATTGTTATGGCTTTGTTGCCAGTTCAACGTTATCAACAACCTCACCTCAAGCAAAACCAAAGCACCCCGCATTGTCCGCTGCAACTGTTGCATGCGGCGCAACTAGCAGGACGTCAGCGTTGCCAACTCTGCAATCTAATGGCGGAAGCGGCTCTGGAAACAGTGCCATCAAAGTGGCATGCACGCTGAATGTGTGCTTCGTTCCTAACAACAGCAAACAAACCTTGCTTGAGAATAAATTTGAACTACCAACTTGGGCTGCCAGTTCCAACCCTGGGGATCTCGACTTCCGCAAGGGTGCCTATACCTGCTGGTTCGACATGAATGTTGAATCTGTCTACACATGGTGTCTGCTGAACAAATGCAACACACCGATCCATGGCGCAGACTTCGCAACCTTTTGCGTCATGAACTGGTCAATTGTCATCACCTTCTATGCCAATATGCATTTCCGAACAATCCTCGCATGGGGCCCGGGCTGGCTTCCTGCCATGACGTCAGTGGGAAGTCTGCATGCATGTCCGTCTCGATGACATCGCAGAAAGAATATTTGTCATATGCAAAACACAAGCACACCTTGATTTTTTGGCATACATACATGACACATGAAACACGGAATCTATGATCAACGCCAAAAACCCTGCTGTTCCATGTCCATGAAGCTGCTCTCATTTGATCCGATACTTGTCTGCCGGGAGTCCATAAATCGCATCACTTTCCGAAACCCCTGTGTTTTTCGTTCGGGTCCATTTTTTCACGATGCGTCTGCCATCTCCAACAAACACGAAACATAACCTGATCAAACATCCGTGGCGAAAAATAATCTTAGCATCCCAGCACGTAAAGTTGCAACTCGAAACAAGAAACAAAAACATGTGCCTCATACAATGATTTGCGAAGGACCATCTGCCCCACTTACAGCCTTATGGGTTTACCAAAATTCATGCCAACAACCATCCCTCATATTTGCCACTTGCCATCCAAACTGCGTGGATGCGTGGTTCTCTTGACTGGAAATGAACATGGGAGCAACATTTTGGGGCTCATGTTTTCCATCGTTCTTGCTTCGAAATACACAAAAGATGGAATGCCGAAAGCTGTACGTTGCGTTCCCCAAGCGAATCGCAGTTTTTCTCTGAAATGTTGTTGACATTTTTCAAGACCGATTCCTCCATGGTTTTGCCTTTAAACTAAAAAATGCGAAAAACATCATGCTGCCATTATCCGACGTATTGGTCCAGTCAACGTACTCTTGCGTGGGAGACCGTCAAGGTGTCTGCAAAAACGAACGGAGGCGAGGAACTTGACGATGTCCGAAATATGTGCATGACTACAATCTGATTGTACAGGCCTTGGTTCATTGCACCATGCTGGCCAGCTCTGGCTGGACACCTCGCTTTTTAAGAGCGCTGCCTGGTTTCACGAATTTTTCACGTTGTGGACATAGATGGTTTATGTCTGCTCTCCGTTGATGTGCCACGCTAGGCGACACGTCACGGTGGCTAAGCTGTGCTGTGTATAGCGCTGAGGCGCTAGCTTCTTGCCATATGCCATATGTGCAAGGTGGACCTAACGGCTGCCAGCATTTCATTTCCAAAGTCAAAAGTCAAAACAGCCTCTCGTGCGCGAGAGATTGGGAAAGAACCTCCACCTTTGCGCTCCATGCACGTGATGGCTTTCAGAAATTGCCCGAAGTGCCATTTTCCGTGGAGAACCATCTTCACAGCTTTTTGTGGCCTTTGCCAACCTGGTAAGACGCCTGCGATTCGTGCCGTCATGGGTCCAAGTGCAAGAAAGCACACAGCTTTCCTTACCAACGAGGCAGAGCGCAAGCACAGGTGGTTATAACTCAAGTTTGCTCACACTGTCGCTGCGATGTGCCTTCTTTGGACGACAAGCGGCAGCTGCATGTGTCGTAGCTCGGCATCGCTGCAGGCTCCAACTGTGTCTGAAGACGAGTGGTAGTGGAATCTCACCAGCACTCAATGTTCCACAAGCAGTGGTGTCGCAAGGCACTGACCAAGCTGGTTTGAGCATGCACTCTTGTTTTCCAAGTTGCCCGCACAAAGACTGTGTCAGACTCGAGCTTGGAGCAAGGTGTGGCACAAGCCGTCTTGTGTCTGATCGTTCAGAAAGACTTGGTGTGCCTTTCAGCTTGTTAAAGAGTTTTTACACCTCTTAGAGCGCAGAAAGGTGGTTCTGCACCTTTTGTTGGGCCTGCATGCGTTATGCACACTTTAATCGCGCAGACGCATTCTATGGGAAGTTCTAGCTGCTACAACAACATCCTAGTGTTACTTCTTCTTTACTCACCGCACCACGCATACTGACTTTCTTTTATCGGAAGGAGGACCCTTGGATATCTTCGATCCATCTATAGCTGCGATGAAGGTTTCGAACAAGTCTGACAGAGTCAAAGCTTTGGCAAATGCTTTGTGTTATGAAGCTTTCGATCGCAGACATGTCTGCCACACTTATACATTGCAGTTTGCTGAGCCGGCTTTGTAATCTCGGCAGACCACGGACTCATTATGTGCTTCAGCTTGCTGGAATTTGATGAAAGGAAGACATTCTCTAGAAGTAAGCACCTTTTTTTGCTGTCGGAGAACGCATTAAGCGGTGACAAAGGACTAATAACACAATCCTCAATGGATAGTGTGACTCTGACTGCCAGCCTGACAGAGAACCTAAGATCTGTCAAGGCAAGTGGTCTGTGCGTGCCACGATTTTTGGCGCTGCTTGGCTTTTACCAGACCTGGATCTACAAGAACTCTGCCATAGACCAGCTGGAAGGTAACGCAGGCGGTGAACAAAGAGCTGATGCAGAGCCTGAACTACAAGTTCGCGACGTTCAACGTCAACAATGCAAGAGAAAAGTTGTGTATCTGAGCTGCTACTTTGTTTGGAAGTGGAGCGATAGAATATCATCACGATTCTGGCCGTTGTCTGCAGTTTTGTGGTACCAAGCTGTTTTTTCTAGTACAAATTTTCAGAAGCCTCTGGAAGTTTTCTTGGTGCAAAGCAATATTCTGGATATATGCTGACCGGTTGTGGTTGCTACAGCGGTTTTCACAAAGGCACTGAAGTTTTCAGAAGTGGGCGAATTTCGAAAGCTGGTACCATGGTTTTTCCTGCAAGAGAGCTGTATGTGCATGGTTGCTTGTGAGAAGCGTGGTTTTTAACCGTCTTAAAGGTGTACTGAGTGTGCAGCTGAG